TGCTGAATACGCATAATCAAGGCCATATCGCAAACGAGCCCTTCAGTCCCATTCAATCAGCGAATCACCTACACGATTTAAATGCCCGCTATAGTAGTTCACGGTGAGAAACTTGCAGCGTATTGAATTGATACTACATGTATTCAGGAAATTTTGTATTTATCACAGGGCGAACTACTGTAGTTTTAACACACCTCACCAAATGCCTTATAGACATGTGAATTCGTAAATGACGAATTAATTCGACCTAGACATTTCATAGATCACATCAAGACCAAGAATTTCTTCATGATATGTCAATGTGGTGAGACTAAAATCTTCAGTAAATGAACAGTAAAATTTATACTAGGAGACCGAGTGAGTTGAGCCCCCCCCCCCCTACTTCGCCCATCGCGTGCAATTACCCTAAAATGATTACTTGTTTAATGATGTCCCCTTTTTCGGTGTACATCGTGACTCATAACAATAGGAAATTCGGCAAGCGGTTCACAAACTCATGTACGTTTAAGAATAATTTTGATACTAATGAACAAGCCTACTAGATATGGAATAACCGGAGGACAGATTCATTCGTGATGCGTGATGCGCAAGTGCGCCTGCCCGCCGCGTCGGCGACGTTCGTGCAAGTGCGTGCGTGGCGCGCGTGGTGCTCGCCTCACATGCGAGTCGCGCCAGCGGGGTGTCATCGCGGATTTGCGTAGCATTCGCGATATTTCGCTGCTGTGCTAAGACGTAGTGCTTCGACGCTCCGAGGACGTTCACAAGATGGCGCGTCCGACACGTACGATGCAGGCAGTTGTAGGCCAAGCTAGACAGATATGGTCTGGCTTCTTCCGTGAGCTATTGATGTTGTTCTCTTCCACGAGAAATTTGCAAACGAATGGCAAGGCCTATATATTTCAGACATTTTGCGTACTCGCGAAACATGGCACGCCCCAATCTCGATCAAAACTAACATCGCAAATCATTTGCTGGGACGCGCGCATGCATCGGGCTGGCCACGTACGTCCCACCTCCAAGTAAGCCCACGCGTGGAAGTTCTTCCCAAACGCAATACAAATCCACCACCTACTGTTTTTTGGCCACCAAAACGGGTGTGCCATGGCAAGCACTGGCCGCACTCCCCGGATGCAGTAGGGTTTTAGACATGTACTCAAAAAAATGGGCGGGGTTCGCCGCGATGAAATGTAAGCATATACGCGTGTTCAAGTGCACTATTTGCCTGCCTCGCGGACTTCCAAACGCCGGGTGCTCGGCCCCTCGCTCACCTGTCCTACGCCCCCAACATCGCCAGCTCGAACTGTGCAAGATAACGTAAATGGCACCTGAGTAAACAGGGAATCGGCACGCAGCACTTTTTTGCTAACAAACAAATTTTTCTTCCAGGCCTATGTTCTCTCCTCTAAATATAGCGCTTTTCA